AGTTTTGACCCATATTTCCATAGTTGATTAAATTGAAGGTTTACCATTATAATAATAATAATAATAATTTCTAATAAAAATAATTTCCTAGTTTCAATTATTTTTTTTTTCAACAAGTCGGCTGTCTCCCACCGAGGCAGGGTGACCCAAAAAACAAAGAAAGTCCCCAAAAAGAAAATACTTTCATCATCATTCAACACTTTCACCACACTCACACATTATCACTGCTTTTGCAGAGGTGCTCAGAATACAACAGTTTAGAAGCATATACGTATAAAGATACACAACATATCCCTCCAAACTGCCAGTATCCCAAACCCCTCCTTTAAAGTGCAGGCATTGTACTTCCCATTTCCAGGACTCAAGTCCGACTATATGAAAATAACCGGTTTCCCTGAATCCCTTCACTAAATATTACCCTGCTCACACTCCAACAGATCGTCAGGTCCCAAGTATCATTCGTCTCCATTCACTCCTATCTAACATGCTCATGCACGCTTGCTGGAAGTCCAAGCCCTTTGCCCACAAAACTTCCTTTACCCCCTCTTTCCAACCCTTTCGAGGACGACCCCTACCCCTCCTTCCTTCCCCTATAGATTTATATGCTTTCCATGTCATTCTACTTTGATCCATTCTCTCTAAATGACCAAACCACCTCAACAACCCCTCTTCTGCCCTCTGACTAATGCTTTTATTAACTCCACACCTTCTCCTAATTTCCACACTCCGAATTTTCTGCATAATATTTACACCACACATTGCCCTTAGACAGGACATCTCCACTGCCTCCAACCATCTCCTCGCTGCTGCATTTACCACCCAAGCTTCACATCTATATTTAGAGTGTTGGTACTACTATACTTTCATACATTCCCTTCTTTGCCTCCATAGATAATGTTTTTTGACTCCACATATACCTCAACGCACTCACCTTTTTTCCCTCATCAATTCTATGATTAACCTCATCCTTCATAAACCCATCCGCCGACACGTCAACTCCCAAGTATCTGAAAACATTCACTTCTTCCATACTCCTCCTCCCCAATTTGATATCCAATTTTTCTTTATCTAAATCATTGATACCCTCATCACCTTACTCTTTTCTATGTTCTCACTTTCAACTTTCTACCTTCACCTTCCCCAAAAATCTCACAAACCTTTGAAATTTTTTCTTTAGAATTCCCATAAGCACGTATCATCAGCAAAAAAGTAACTGTGTCATTCCCATTTTGAATTGTTCCCCCGAATTTAAACCCAACCCCTCTCCCGAAACCCTAAATTTTATTTCCTTTACAACCCATTATAAATTTAAAAACCTGGTGACATTACAATCCGTCTAAGACCTCTTTTACCGGGGAAGTGTCTCCCCTCTTTACATCCCAACCTGAGCCTCACTACCCATAAAAACTTTTTTCAGCACTTAAAATTACCCCTTTCCCAATTACTTGCAACATCTCCCAAAATTGCTCCTCTATCCCTCTATCATATGCCTTTTCTAAACCCAAAAAATCATAAATTTTCCCTACCTTTATCTAAATAATGTTACAATATGCTTCAAAGTAAGCATTGACTACACATCCCCTACCCACTCTGAAGCCCCCGCTCCCCCAATCCCCTTCTGTTTTTTACCCCTAATTCTTTCAATTTAAACCCCCGTATAAAATTTTCCCGGGATATCAGTAAATATTCCTCAAAATTTTTTCAAATCTTTTGTCCCCTTTCCTTTTTTAAAGGGGCTACTGCTCTCCGCCAAACCCTAGGTCCCTTCCCCTTTCATACTTTATTAAACAAAAGTACTCCAACACTAATCCCCCTGCTTTTAACATTTTTTGGCATGATCCATAGTTTCCGTGCTTTACCCCCTTTCATTCACATACGCCTCAGACCCCACACACTTTCATTCTGCCTCTTCATTCCTAAAAGTGTTTAAACCCCCCTGGCCATGATGAAATTATTTTTTCTAAAAAAATAATGCCCGTCCAAGTTATGTGTTTTTATTTTGCTTGGGTAAGGTTATGAAAATCCTGAAGTGAAAATTTAAAAAAAAAAAAAATCAACAGTCTTGATAGAATAAAATTTTGTTTTAAAACCATGAAAGAAAAAATTATTTCACAAAAGGAAAATTTTTTAAAAAATTGTTAGTAAATCTTTAAAAATTATTTGAAGTGGATGCCCTTTAAAATTTAAACTAATGTACAGTATGCAGTGCTGTGATTTAATTTTTTTGTGTTAATTAACCTTTGACTGTTTTGGTCGTATATATACATCTTATGAGCCAGTGTTTCGGACATATATATACGCAATAATTCCAGCGGCTTCAAATCAAGCAGGAGAAAGCTGGTGGGCCCACATGTGAGAGAATGGGTCTGTATAATCAGTGTGCACTGTATAAAAAAATCCTGCAACACGCAGTGCATAATGAGAAAAAAAAACTCCGACCATATTTTTTAATTAAAATGCCAACTTTGAGGTTTATTTTTGTATAGTATTTATGGCTGTATTCTCGTTTTTGTGGTCTCATTTGATAGAATGGAAAACATGTTACAGAAGTAGAGATGATTTTGATTAGTTTCACGATGAAAACGACCTTGAAATTGAGCTCAAAGTAGTGGAAATGTTCGATTTTTACCAATGTTCAAGAGTAAGCAAATCACACCACACGTCCAATACACATCATCTGGGAGAGTCTAATATTCTTTCACTTGATGCACTGATATTAATTTATATATTTTTACAATAATGCAGTTAGTCCACATCAACAGTAATCTTTATTTTCTGTGTGAATAAAAAATCAAAAAGAAAAAGGCAAGAGTATATAGAGGGGGCTCTGGAGACATGACTAATGAACAGAGGAATATGTTATTTTAGTGTCAAGAATGTCTGCATTGTTTATTCTCGACCCTATTTTTGAAATTGGCATCACATCTTTTTTAATTTGCATTGAAATTGGCCAAATTGCCAATTTCTGGATCACTTTGTTGATAATTTTTTTTTAGTTGAAAATTGTGTTATATGGGCTGTTTCTTGTACTCAGTTGATTGGAAAATATTGGAAAGTTCTAAAGAAATAGTATGAGTTTGGTCGCTGAACAATGAATTGGATGAAAATAGGGCTCAAAGTCGGTGAAATCACCGATGCGTATATATCGCCGAGATTGCTAACTTTGCTGGAGCGTAATTCCGTAAGTTTTTGATCAAATTTCATACTTTTGGTGTCATTACCATTGGGAAAAGATTTTCTATCATTTATAAGAAAAAATAATATTTGTTTTTTTCCAAAAAATTTTCAACATAGGCGCTTGTGACAGTCAAAGGGTTAAACTACTGGAGAATGATATATTCTTAGCATGTGGGGTTATGGTTTGGAGAGATACTGTAATACAAAAGGTTAGTTATTGGGTAGATATGCTAGTGCCCAAGAGAAATTTAAATATCTTCATTTCACAGGGCATTTTATGCTTTCTGTCTGTGGGACTTCCTTGCATCCATTTTTCTTCTGTACAGAATATTTGAATAATTGGGTTATAAGAGTGAAGCAGTGGAGACTTGCTCTGTCTGCTCAAGTTTGAAATTCATTCACTTGCTTTGCATCATATAGAATTCTCCATCTTGCATGTATTGTTTTAATCATCTGGTTATATACTCTATCAGTACATCTTATATGTATCAATAAAACATGACTAAAATTTTTCTTAAATCCTTATCTGAAGCAAATTTGTATAGAGGTGGGCACCACTTTACAATGCTTCGCTTTGTAGTGTTTCACTAATGCAGTTTTCAATTATACCCATTCTTTATTTAACATGCTATATGGTTATAACTTTGACCATAATTTTTAAAGGAGTGGTCTGGTGAGCCAGAGGAAGGCCTCACAGTCAGATGGCACAAAAGCCCCAGCTGTGGGTCATCATCTGACTAAGACCCACGTCAGGAAATACCTGTCATGTTTCCTGACAATCCTTACCTAACCTAACCTTCATTTATTCAGACTTTTTACAATACACGTAAATATATTCACCGCTTACTATAAGCTAAGGACAAAAATATTTTAAGGTAAGTAATATTTTTCTTTTTTTATTATCACACTGGCCGATTCCCACCAAGGCAGGGTGGCCCGAAAAAGAAAAACTTTCACCATCATTCACTCCATCACTGTCTTGCCAGAAGGGTGCTTTACACTACAGGTTTTTAAACTGGCAAAACATTAACACCCCTCCTTCAGAGTGCAGGCACTGTACTTCCCATCTCCAGGACTCAAGTCCGGCCTGCCGGTTTCCCTGAATCCCTTCATAAATGTTACTTTGCTCACACTCCAACAGCACGTCAAGTATTAAAAAACATTTGTCTCCATTCACTCCTATCAAACAGCTCACGCATGCCTGTGTGCCTACCCCCCCCCCCCCCCCCCCGCCCCTCGCACACCAAAACTCCTTTACCCCTCCCTCCAAACCCTTCCTAGGCCGACCCCTACCCCGCCTTCCTTCCACTACAGACTGATACACTCTTGAAGTCATTCTGTTTCGCTCCATTCTCTCTACATGTCCGAACCACCTCAACAACCCTTCCTCAGCCCTCTGGACAACTGTATATGCATTTTTTATGCCTACCTCTATTACTTATTTATGATAGTGTAAACATATCATCAGGCTTAATAGTATATGCATAATCCCCTATCCCCCCCCCCCCCCCCCCCCCCCCCCCCCCCCCCCCCCCCCCCCCCCCCTCCCCCCCCCCCCCCCCCCCCCCCCCCCCTGCTATGTTTCATTTTACAGTGATTTTCGCTGTACAGCAATAACCCGGAACCTAACCTGCTGTATAAGTTGGGCCCTTCTGTGTGCATGTATTCATCTGAATACATGCATATAGGGAATTCTTTATGTACTTTATCCAAAATTGTGGAAAGATTAGTGTTTGTGGTATAGCAATTTTATTTTGTACGTTAAATTTTGTTTACTCTTACTTTATTTAAAGTTATGCTTACTGTAAGAATAACCCCTTCAGCAGTGTAGAGTCATCTGAGAGTGAGACGTCTTCTTCATCTCCATCATCAGTTGAATCCTTACATTGGACTAATGAAAATATAAAGAAGGTATTATATCTGAGTGTTAACTGATTAACATACCAGCATATACAGATGTAGATTTTTTTTATAATAAGACAGACTCAAAATGTATTGAATTAATTACCTTCCTGTGCATTTCCTGCCATAAGAAATATGGCTTTTAATATGCATGGTAGCCCCTTTCCTTAGTATTTATATTTTTTCTTTTACCTATTATTAGTCAGAGTGAATACAGCCTCTCCTCACTTAGCGACATACTTGTTTACCGATGCCTCGGACTTACGACGGGCTCTCTGACCAATATTCATACCTAAATAATGTATATTAGAGCTGATTTCCTCTATTCTGTTTGTTTCAGTATTCAGTACATTACTGTATAAACATTTAAAAATATACCAGAAATGGTGCAAAGGTGGCATTAAAATAATATCAAAGATGGTTGACACCAACTCACTACCATTATAGTTTGCTCCTCACTTACCGACGAATTTGTTTAATGACGTGGGCTTAGGAATGGAACTCCATCATTAAGTGAGGAGAGGCTGTACATTTCATACTAGTATTGCCCTCATTTGCCATTGCATCCCTTAGTGTGCAGTACAGAATGAGTTGCCATTACCAGCCATCTGCTTCCAGTTGTTAGCTTGTAAAGTGAGGGTTTACTGTACTTCTTGGGAATCAGTAGGTTGATACATATATCTTCTTCTTTTAATAAACCGGGGGTATCTCACCGAGGCAGGGTGGCCCAAAAGAAAAAAGGAAAGTTTCTCCTTTTAAATTTAGTAATATATACAGGAGAAGGGGTTACTAGCCCCTTGCTCCCAGCATTTTAGTTGCCTCTTATGACATGCATGGCTTACGGAGGAAGAATTCTGTTCCATATGTGAAAGGGTTATATATATTACCAGGTCTAATTGTGATTTACAAGACCCTTGGAGTGACTGCCACATGGGGATTATTGTTTTCTTTTCTCTTCACAACCTCTTTTTTTAACACTATCATCTCATCCATTTAATATACATTTTATATTCTCATACATGTACTGTTCTATATTTTGCAGTTTCTATATTAGTCTTTTATTAAGAATTTATTAAGTATGGTAGAATAAAGACACACCAATGAAGAGCCTTGTGTTCATATGATATTTCATTCACCAGAGTTGATAGTCCTCGTTGGTTCCTGTTTGTTATAAGTATCATATTTATACCTCCATATGTTGGCTTAGTCATATATCGACATACTTATTAAGGATAATATATCAGTTTGTTTTGTTTAGGTTTGTTGTACTCTTTGTTTTTTCAGTCAAGCATGTATTTAATGTAGTTTTAATTTCTTATCATTAATGAGTGATTATCTTTTACAGAAGATGCCAACACTGTTCACCTTAAATGTGGGAGAAAGAGAGTCATTTTTTGCGAGATCTCAGGAACTTAGTCAAAGTAAACAAGAGCTTTATACTTTTTTGGAGAGCGGTCGGAAGTCATCTAGACTAGAGGGCAAAGAATATGTAAGGAATATGTAAAGAATATGTTAGATCTGTTTTCTTTTTAAAATATTTATATTTTTATGTGCAATGAAAATTACTCACTTCATAGAAATTGCTCACATTTATACTCCAGTTTATCTGTGATCAATGGGATCAGCTGTTACTTCCTTGAATTTACATTGATTTACAAGAATTTCTATCTCTTTCTCTCTCACATGTACTTAACATATTTGCTTGAGCATTATCTCTCCAAAATGTAGGATGTTTGCTTAAGCCTTCCTCTCTCACACAGAGCATGTTTGCTTGGACCTTTTGCTAAATGATCATTTTTTATCAAGAACTGTTATGATATCTTGTTATGTGGCTTCAAAGTCTGTTAACCCTTTCAGGGTTTCGGACGTACTAGTACAGCTTATGCACTTGGGTTTTTGACGTACTAGTACGCCTAAATTCTAGCGCCCTCAAATCTAGTGAGAGAAAGCTGGTAGGCCTACATATGAAAGAATGGGTCTATGTGGTCAGTGTGCGCAGTATAAAAAAAATCCTGCAGTGCACAGTGCGTAATGCGAAAAAAAAAAACTTTGACCGTGTTTTTGGATTAAAACAGTGACTGCACTGTATTTTCATATGGTATTTATTATTGTATTCCAGTTTTCCTGGTCTCATTTTATAGAATGGAAGACATATTACATAAATTGAGATGATTTTGACTGGTTTTACAATGAAAAGTACCTTGAAATTGAGCTCAAAGTAGCAGAAATGTTCGATTTTTGCCAATGTTCAAAAGTAAACAAATCATGCCAAGCGTCCAATACACGTCAACTGGCGAGTCTAATATTCTTTCACAAGTGCGCTGATATTATTTATACCATTTCTACACTAATGCAGTAGTCTGCATAACAGTAAATCTTCTATTTTTTGTAAGAATAAAAATTCAAAGTGGAAAGCCAAAGAAATATAAGAGGGGCCTGGGGATGTGACTAACGAACAGAGAACTTGTTATTTTAGTGCCAGGAATGTCTTTCTTGTTTATTCTAGACCCTATTCGGAAATTGGCATCTTTTGAAATTTGTGTGAAATTGGCAAAGTTGCTAAATTTTGACCACTTTATTGGATAGTTGAAATTGGTAAATGAGTGGTTTCTTGTACTCATTCGATAGAAAAAATGGTGTTCTAGTGAAATAGTTATGATTTTTTGTTGACTAGTACACTGGAATTGGCCGAAAATAGGGCTCAAAGTGGGCAAAAATCGCCGATGCGTAAACATTGTCAAGACTGCTAACTTTGCAAGAGCATAATTCCGTAAGTTTTCCATCAAATTTCATACTTTTGGTGTCATTATGATCAGGAAAAGATTCTCTATCTTTTCGTTAGAAAACATAATTTTTTTTTTTTTTTTTTTAAATTTGGCGACCCTGAGAACAAGTCTGAGAGAGGGCCTGGTGACCCTGAAAGGGTTAAACATTGTTTCTTTCTTATAAGTTGGAGAAGCATAACAGTAGTTTTAAAATTATAAAGTAAGTAATTGGCTCTATGCATTTTACTCTACTAAATTATTCCAAGAATTGAAAGCATTTCTGCTAATTGAGCATGTACACAAGCGTTCAGATGATTGATAATGATTGAATAAACTTTCTCTTCTTTTTTTTTAACCTTAAATAAGCATATGCTTCAACTTTTTTTTTTTTTTTTTTTTTTCTGGGAGGGGGGCGCAGTGTTGGCAGGGCAGGGGAGGATGAAGAATTGAGGTAGGGTAGAACAGTATAAAAAGATTGTTGGTGTAGAGAGAGAATTAGGTAAGAAAGAATAACTGGCCTGACCTCTTTGATTTTGGTACTTGGTATGCTTCATTCTTACTTTGTAACATTCTGGCTGCCTTTCATATGACAGTTTTTCAATAGATCATTGCATATTTTTTTTTTTTTTTTCAACAAGTCGGCCGTCTCCCACCGAGGCAGGGTGACCAAAAAAAGAAAGAAAATCCCCCAAAAGAAAATACTTTCATCATCATTCAACACTTTCACCACACTCACACATTATCACTGCTTTTGCAGAGGTGCTCAGAATACAACAGTTTAGAAGCATATACGTATAAAGATACACAACGTATCCCTCCAAACTGCCAATATCCCAAACCCCTCCTTTAAAGTGCAGGCATTGTACTTCCCATTTCCAGGACTCAAGTCCGACTATATGAAAATAACCGGTTTCCCTGAATCCCTTCACTAAATATTACCCTGCTCACACTCCAACAGATCGTCAGGTCCCAAGTATCATTCGTCTCCATTCACTCCTATCTAACACGCTCATGCACGCTTGCTGGAAGTCCAAGCCCCTCGCCCACAAAACCTCCTTTACCCCCTCTTTCCAACCCTTTCGAGGACGACCCCTACCCCTCTTTCCTTCCCCTATAGATTTATATGCTTTCCATGTCATTCTACTTTGATCCATTCTCTCTAAATGACCAAACCACCTCAACAACCCCTCTTCTGCCCTCTGACTAATGCTTTTATTAACTCCACACCTCCTAATTTCCACACTCCGAATTTTCTGCATGATATTTACACCACACATTGCCCTTAGACAGGACATCTCCACTGCCTCCAACCGTCTCCTCGCTGCTGCATATGTCTTGTCAAAATTTTGGAAGCACTACCTCTCTCTGAGTAATGAATATTATATAAATTTAAGAGAGAGAGGAATGTTGGTTTTAGCTAATAATTAGTTATTGAACCATTTGTCATTAAACTTATACGTACTTTATTACTTTAATATGTTTTACAGGTAAAGATTTCTCTAGCTTCATCAACTGAGGATATTTCATGTTCTAATGGATCTGATAAGGAGTACATGCCAGCTATAAAGAGAAGACGTAAACGATTTTTCTGGTTTGTTTTTCTGCATTTTCAACGTTTTTTTTGTTCCACATCTTAAAATGTATTTTTGAGTATAGCCGTACCATTATGCTTGTCTGTCTTTTTTGCCCACCTTACTTAGATTCTTTTCCCTTTCTTTTTATCTATACTGGTGTAGTCACTAAGAGTAAACTTGAGATGTGCAAAATGTTGTTGAAGAACCTGGTCTTGTGAATGGTTTTCCATAAAATCACATAATAAAAATATATTGAAACTTTTTTTATGCTCTTTGAAGTTTAGTCACTCCTCATACATCCATATTTTAATAGTTTAACAAAAAAATAATAATTTTAAGCATAGCAACATTATTGTGTCTTCATTTTTCTATTTGCTATACTTTGATCTTTTTCTCTGTACGAGTAATTAATTTTTTTTTTTCAACGAATCAGCCGTTTCCCACCGAGGCAGGGTGGCCCAAAAAGAAAAACGAAAGTTTCTCTTTTTAAATTTAGTAATTTATACAAGAGAAGGGGTTACTAGCCCCTTGCCCCCGGCATTTTAGTCGCCTCTTACAACACGCATGGCTTACGGAGGAAGAATTCTGTTCCACTTCCCCATGGAGATAAGAGGAAATAAACAAGAACAAGAACTAGAAAGAAAATAGAAGAAAACACAGAGGGGTGTGTATATATATGCTTGTACATGTATGTGTAGTGTGACCTAAGTGTAAGTAGAAGTAGCAAGATGTATCTGAAATCTTGCATGTTTATGAGACAATCCTACCATCATGTAAAACAATTACAGGTTTCTGTTTTACACTCACTTGGCAGGACGGTAGTACCTCCCAGGGCGGTTGCTGTCTACCAACCTACTACCTACATGAGTAACTAATATTGTACTGTATTTGCATGATTAATTTGAGATGTTTGAAGTGACACAGTTACTTTTTGCTGATGATACTGTGCTTATGGGTGAGTCTAAAAAAAAATTGCAGAGGTTAGTGGATGAATTTGGGAGTGTGTGTAAAGGTAGAAAGCTGAAAGTGAACATAGAAAAGAGTAAGGTGATAAGGGTATCAAATGATTTAGATTAAGAAAAATTGGATATCAAATTGGGGAGGAGTATGGAAGAAGTGAATGTTTTCAAATATTTGGAATTTGACGTATCAGCGGATGGATTTATGAAGGATGAGGTTAATCGTAGAATTGATGAAGGAAAAAAGGTTAGTGGTGCATTGAGGTATATGTGGAGACAAAGAACGTTACCTATGGAGGCAAAGAAGGGAATGTATGAAAGTATAGTGGTACCAACACTCTTATATGGGTGTGAAGCTTGGGTTGTAAATGCTGCAGCAAGGAGGCGGTTGGAGGTAGTGGAGATATCCTGTCTAAAGGCAATGTGTGGTGTAAATATTATGCAGAAAATTCGGAGTGTGGAAATTAGGAAAAGGTGTGGAGTTAATAAAAGTATTAGTCAAGAGGGCTGACGAGGGGTGTTGAGGAGGTTTGGTCATTTAGAGAGAATGGATCAAAGTAGAATGCATGGAGAGCGTTTATTGTAGGGAAAGGGTAAGGCGGGTTAGGGGTCGCCCTTGAAAGGGTTGGAGAGGGGGGTAAAGGAGGTTTTGTGGGTGAGGGCTTGACTTCCGGGCAAGCGTGCGTGAGCGTGTTAGGAGTGAATTGGTGACGAATGGTATTTGGGGAACCTGATGATCTGTTGGAGTGTGAGCAGGGTAATATTTGGGTGAAGGGATTCAGGGAAACCGGTTATTTTATATAGCCGGACTTGAGTCCTGGAAATGGGAAGAACAATGCCTGCACTTTAAAGGAGGGGTTTGGGATATTGGCAGTTTGGAGGGATATGTTGTGTATATATGTATATACATCTAAACTGTTGTATTCTGAGCACCTCTGCAAAAACAGATTGTGTGTGAGTGAGGTGAAAGTGTTGAATGATGATCAAAGCATTTTCTTTTTGGGGATTTTTTTTTTGGGTCACCCTGCCTCGGTGGGAGATGGCTGACTTGTTAAAAAAAAAAAAGTTTGGAGACAATTGACTGTTAACAGATATATTGGTGGAGTGTTAGCAAAAAATATTTATGAAAGGATTGATAAATTTTAGCTGGACTTGAGTTCTGGAGGTAGAAAGGGCAGTGTCTGCACTCTAAAAGAGGTGTGGGAATGTTGCAAGCAGAGGGTTATCTGAATTGTGATGTCATCACACTTAAGGCAAGACAGCGGTTGAATGAATGTTAGTGATTGTGTTTTCTTGTTTGTGTCACCCTTCCTTGGTGGGAGATAGCTGTTGAAGCTTAAAAATAATATCTTTATTTTTTGAAGGTATATTACATTTAGTCCTAGGTAGTAGGTTGGTAGACAGCAACCGCCCAGGGAGGTACTACTGTCCTGCCAAGCGAGTGTAAAACGGAAACCTGTAGTTGTTTTACATGATGGTAGGATTGCTGGTGTCTTCTTTCTGTTTCGTAAACATGCAAGATTTCAGGTACATCTTGCTCCTTCTACTTACACTTAGGTCACACTACACATACATGTACAAGCATATATATACACACCCCTCAGGGTTTTCTTCTATTTTCTTTCTAGTTCTTATTCTTGTTTATTTCCTCTTATCTCCATGGGGAAGTGGAACAGAATTCTTCCTCCGTAAGCCATGCGTGTTGTAAGAGGCGACTAAAATGGCGGGAGCAAGGGGCTAGTAACCTCTTCTCCTGTATATATTACTAAATGTAAAAGGGGAAACTTTCATTTTTCCTTTTGGGCCACTCTGCCTCGGTGGGATACGGCCGGTGTGTTGAAAGAAGAAAGATTACATTTAGTGATAAAAAAAACTCAGAAGACAGAAGAACCATTATCTATAGTGTTACATGATATTTTCATATGTAGTGAACTTTCTTTAGTGAATCTAGGAAGTGAAATATGTATATAGTAGGGAGGAAGAAAGTGTGTCAGGTGCAGGGGGAGTGGCCAGTGCATTCAAGCATGGATGGGCCAGTAGGCCTGTTGCAGCCTTCTTTTGCAGGACTGGATGCTACAGTGAGAATAATTTTGATTTGTTTTAACAATGACTGCCTCCCACCAAAATAGGGCGACCCCAAAAAGAAATTTATTCACTGTCATTCACTTGGTCACTGTTTTGCCATAAGTTTGTTGACATCACTATTCAGATGACCCTTCAGACTGCAGTTTCCTCACCCCTCCTTTAGAGTGCAGGCATTCTATTTTACACTTTCAGAACTTTAGTCAGGCTAACTTATTTCTCCTGAATTCCTTCACAAATATTATTTTGCTCTAATGCACTCACACAAGCCTGTTGGATGACTCAAGAAATCGTAATGACACGATTGCAAACAAACCATACCCCCGGCCGGGATTGAACCCGCGGTCATAAAGTCTCAAAACTCCAGCCCGGCGCGTTAGCCATTAGACCAGTTTTGAGACTCTATGACCGGGGGTTTCAACCCCGGCGGGGGTAGGGTTTGTTTGCAATCGTGTCATTACGATTTCTTGAGTCATGTTGACGGCAGTGAAGGGACTTGAGCTAGAGTTCGTCACGGCCACGCTAGCTGGAGATTCGTCTGTAAAAACTTGCATTTGTGGTCACAGAGGTGCCTGTGCTAACCTTCCTATGGTGTAGAAATATACCTAGTTGGATGAATCTTATTGTGGCTAGCTGGTCTAGTGGCTAACGCGACGGGCTGGAGTTTTGAGACTCTATGACCGCGGGTTCAATCCCGGCCGGGGGTATGGTAAGCCTGTTGGATATTCGAGCTTCTAGAACTCAAAACCTCCTTTGCCTTCTCTTTCCAGTCCTTCCTGGGATGACCCTTATCCCTCCACCTCAGTTCTGTGTACCCCTCTTAGTCATCCTGTTCTGCTTCATCCTCTCTAAATGCCCAAACTGCCTCAGCAACCAAATTATACCTCTGGTAACCCCACATCATCTAATTTCAATGCCTTTAATTTTCTGCATAATATTCACACAACATTTTTCCTTCAGGCATGACATCTTCACTGTCTCCAGCCTCCTCCTCACTGCAGCATTCAAAGCCCATGCCTTACAGTATTCAAAGCCTATGCCTTACTGCTGTATGCTGGTACATTCCCCTTTTTGCCTCCATGGATAAATTTCTTTGTCACCACAGATGCCTCAATACACTGCCCACCTTTTTTTTCCCCTTCGTCTATTCTGTGGTTTACCTTATATTTCGTAGAGCCATTTGGCACCAAATCCACTCCTAAATATTTGAAAGCATTGAATATTGTTGTAGGAGAAAACAGGCTTTGCTGCTTAAATATTTTTTCACTTGTGTGTATTTTTAAATTTTAAATATTTATATTTGGGTTACAGTGCTGATGTTTTTTATTTCAGGAAAGCAAGAAAGCATAAGAAAAACAAGACACACAACATTAAGATGGACAAGTCATCCAGTGAAGACTTGACTGATATGTTTAGTGACTGGAATAAGGATAAATTGTTTTTGCAAGGATTGAAAGAGAGTGATGAGAAATCATGGAGTAGCGAAAGCAGTGATGACAACCATAGAACTGGGATAGACAATAATGTTGAGAATGATGGAACATCACATGAATCATTTAATAAAGAGCAGCATTCATTGTCCAAAGATGGATTTAGTGATGAGAAAAATTTAATTGGAAATGACATTGGATATGAAAATAAGGAAGCTAGGAAAGAAATCCTTATGAAATGGAAGAGAGAGATATGTAATAAGGAAAAAATATCAAAAAAGAAATGCGTAAGAGAAACTAATAAATTGAAGATGCGTCGAAAAGTTTTTGAAATGAAAAAATCAAGATTGAGGGAGTATCAAAAAAAAAACGAGCTAAGTAATCCTTTACGTTTCCAATCATTTCCTTGTATGCTAAAAGTTTTGCTTAGTCTACTTTACCTTGCTGTTCTGCTGTCAGGAGAACATATTCTACTGATGGACCTATTAAGGTAAAAAATATGGTAATATGTGTAGTTTCTCACTTGTTTTGAAAATATTGACTTAGTGTATGCACTTTTTCAGACATAAGTGAACTTTTTAATTCAACAGGAATTACGTCAAGATAAGTACAAAATTAAATTTAAAGTAGAATGACTTGGAGAGCATATCAATCTGTAGGGAAAGGAAGGTGGGGTAGGGGTCATCCTCGAAAAGGTTGGAGGGAGGGGGTAAAGGAGGTTTTATGGGCGAGGGGCTTGGACTTCCAGCAAGCATATGCGAGCATGTTAGATAGGAGTGAATGGAAACGAATGGTTTTTGGGACATGATGAGCTGTTGGAGTGTGAGCAGGGTAATATTTAGTGAAGGGATTCAGGGAAACCGGTTATTTTTATTTAGCTGAACTTGAGTACTGGAAATGGGAAGCACAATGCCTGCACTTCAAGGAAGGGTTTGGGATATTTTCAGTTTGGAGGGATATGTTATATATCTTTATATATGCTTCTAAACTGTTGTATCTGGGTGCTTCTGCAAAGATAGTGATTATGTAGGAGTGAGGTGAAATTTGAATGATGATGAAAGTATTTTTCTTTTTTGGTCACCCTGCCTCGGTGGGAGATGGATGACTTGTTGAAAAAAAAAAGTACAGAATTATGGATGAGTTGTTTTTCACAAAACACTATAATGGTACAGTAATCTGTAGCATATTGGTCGCTCACTGTCTTAGCCTGTATAAGAGCTTCCATATTGTTTTATGAGACATAGATACGACTGAACTGATGAAGCTTGTGGCCATGGAAATTTACTTTTAATTTCCTCTTAATTAATTTTATATTTAAACAGTCTGATCTGGCTCCCAACACTGAGTTTCCTAGCCAGGTATTTAGCTTTGATTTTTATCTTTAGAATTAGATAAGCTTTTAAGGCTAATGAAGAAGTTAAATGCACTAGACAAGAGGTAGCAGTAGCTAACTATTCAAGAGATGATAAGCATACACATATACAGTCATACTCCAATTCGCCATTTCGGCTTACGTAAAATTTGCCTTTACCCCACTTTTCTAGAGTAAATTTCAGTTCAACAAACGTTATTATGTCTAACATTACGTTACTCAGCAATGTCACCTATGTCATAATAAAAGGACATGAAATAGTAAATAAATTTATCCTTAAAGCATATGTAAAATAAAACACAAAAATTAACAATAAAAAATTAACTAGAAACTGATCCAAAGTCCCTTGAATTGTGCGCTTCTTCCTCTTATTTAAGATGGTCGTATATGGGAAAAATAGGTCATCAGTGCCATTCATTATTTTTGTGAAATGCTCGGCATTTGGGTCTTGTTCCACAAATATTGCAAGACACTTGGACAGGTAATAAAAACCTTTCTGCATTTTGGCTATGGCAGATTTCCTTGGCTCTGGTTCTGGAAGCTCTTTCTCTTCGCAGCACTGTTCCTCCAGCAGCAATGCCGTCACGTGGCAAGATGGCAAAACTACGTAATGGTGGACATTTGTTTACAATTTTTTGATGTAAATATTTTATTGTATATGCATTTTTTTATATTTTTAGTGTGTTTTTATTGTATTTCAACTTGTTTTTAGCTTCTTTTATCTTTTATTGTTAATTTTTGTGTTTTATTTAAATATATTTTCATTATATTTTTATTTAAATATATTTTTATTTCACGTCCTTTTATTATGATGTAGGTTACATTGCTGGGTGACGTAACGTCAGACGTAATGATGTTTGCTGAAATTTACTCTAGAAATGTGACATAAAAGCGAATTTGACATAGGACGAAATGACGTAAAATGGGGTATTACTGTACTTTTATTTAGTTTTCTTTGCCACATCAGCCATTTCCCATCATAGTAGAAGACCTCAAAAGATGGAAACATTCTCCATCGTTTATTTAATACAGTACTTTATATAGCAGTTTTGCCAAAAGTGCGTAATCATCATGTTTCAGAAGACCCTTCATACTGCAGTATTGCAACATCCCCACTCATACTTCCAAATGCAGGTTACTTTCCTTCTCCAGAACCCAAATTTATGTGGGCACACATACACAAGAATAACAAAGTTACATTTTTAACAGATGGTGTCATGAAGGCCATATTCCCTACTTGTCAGCGCCTTGCTTGGTGGAATTGGCAATGAAAAGTCGGTCAGCTACCATTCTCCAGCTGAAAAAATGCCAAGCATCCCAGATTCAAGATGTGTAAGAAGAATTGCAGGTGAACTAAGTTTGTTTCTCTGTTTGCACTCGATTCCTCTTCCTTGTGTGAAAAATGTGATTGCACATTTGGTAAAGCTGCTTAGATTACCTGGTAAGTTGGAGTTAAATCTTTGATCCTAATTTGATTAACTTTTCAGGTATAAAAATATAATGTGAGTATACAATGGTGATTGGTTAACAAAATAACATAACACATATGCTTTTTACCTAACATACCATCTGTTTCCCACTGAGGCAAGGTGACCTGAAAAAAAGGAAACTATAAAGATTTTCTTCTTTTACATTTAGTAATTTATACAGGAAAAAGGGGTAACTAGCCTCTTGCTCTTGGCATTTTGCTATATATAAGAACATAAGAAAGAAGGAACACTGCAGCAGGTCTACTGACCCATGTGAAGTGGGTCCATGTCACCCTCCAGCTTAGCCCAATGACCCACCTAGTCAGGTCACTTCCACTTAAGGAAAGAGCATGGCATCAGACCTAGTAGCACAAGCTAGTCAGGTCCAACTCACACCCACTCATGTATTTTTTTTTTTTCAACAAACCAGCCGTATCCCACCAAGGCAAGGTGGTCCAAAAAGAAAAATGAAAGTTTCTCTTTTTAAATTTAGTAATTTATACAGGAGAAGGGGTTACTAGGCCTTTGCTCCTGGCATTTTAGTCGCCTCTTACAACACGCATGGCTTACAGAGGAAGAATTTTGTTCCACTTCCCCATGGAGAACTCATGTATTTATATAACCTATTTTTAAAATTACATGACGTTTTAGCCTCTATAAGTGTACTTGGGAGTTTGTTTCACTCATCCACAACTATATTACCAAACCAGTGCTTTCCTATATCCGTCCTGAATCTGAATTTTTTCAACTTGAAACCATTGCTGTGAGTCCTGTCTTGCTGGAAATTTTCAGCACGCTGTTTACAACCCTTGTATTTATTCCTGTTTTCCATTTATACACCTCAATCATATACCCCCTAATTCTACGCCTTTCTAGAGAGTACAGAGTCAGGGCCCTCAGTCTTTCCTCATAGGGAAGATTTCTGATACGTGGGATTAACTTGGTCATCCTCCTCTGTACATTTTCCAGTGCATTTATATTCATTCTGTAATACGGTGACCAGAACTGTGCAGCATAATCTAAATGAGGCCCAACCAAAGATGTATAGAGTTGAGAACAACTGAGGAATTCTATTGTTTATACTTCTAGATATGAAGCCAAGGATTCTGTTAGCTTTATTGCTGACACTAATACACTGTTGTCTTGGTTTTAGATTACTGCAAACTAGAACTCCTAAATCCTTTTTGCAATCAGTAGTATTAAGATTACATTACAGTGGACCCCCGCATAACGATCACCTCCGAATGCGACCAATTATGTAAGTGTATTTATGTAAGTGCGTTTGTACGTGTATGTTTGGGGGTCTGAAATGGACTAATCTACTTCACATATTCCTTATGGGAACAAATTCGGTCAGTACTGGCACCTGAACATACTTCTGGAGTGAAAAAATATCGTTAACCGGGGGTCCACTGTATTCAGTTTATATGAGGCATGGTTATTTTCCTGTCCAACATTTAGAACTTTGCATTTGTCTTTATTAAACTGCATCTGCCACTTCTCCAACCATTGCATCAGTCTATTCAAATCACCCTGGAGTGCTCTAGTGTCCTCATTAGAATGAATTGGATGGCCTATTTTGATGTCATCAGCAAATTTGCTTATGTCGCTATTTATTCCCTCATCTATGCCGTTTTTGTAAATTTTGAATAACAACGGACCCAACACTTACCCCTGCGGAGCACCTCTTGTGATGTGCCCGCATTCTGATTTCTCCCCATTTATGCAAACTCTCTGCTGCCTATTTATCAACCATGCCTCTACCAAGGAAAAATTTTCTCCTCCTATTCCGTGTGCCTTAAGTTTTCTCAGTAGCTTCTGATGTGGAACTCTATCGAAAGCCTTACTGAACTCCGTATACACAATATCATATTCATTACCATGATCTACCTCCTCAAACACCTTAGTGAAAAAAGTTAGTAAATTCGTAAGACAGGAACGTCCCTTTGTAAAACCATGTTGAGATTCATTAATCAATTTATGCCTATCAAGATGGCTACAAATTGTTTCGGCAATATGTAGGTTATTTTGTCAACCAGTCATAATCATCATTACAAGCTGCATTAATTAATTTTGAAAATAGCCTTTATTCCTTTGTTTATAACATTTGAGTTGCCTGATATCATTTCTGTCCAGCAGAGAGAGTTGAGACACTTTTTTCTCCAACTGAACATTTCCCTTTTATTAATGTGGGCATGCTGATCTTTATCCGAGGTCAGAATTGACTCAGTACATTAGGTTTTTATTTTAATTAGACAAAAAATATACCTTTTCAAGCAGTGTTATTGAAAGATGAGCACATTTCACAATTGATGTATGTGCATGTTATTCGGTTGTCGTCAAATTGTTAGTGATATATGTAAAATACAGGAAATTTGATTTCTGTAATCAAAAATCCTTCATGCATTGTGGATGCTATGCTTATTTAAGTTCTAAATATCAAATATACAGTGGACACCGCTTACGATTCACACTCCAAATGGACAATTTATTAATGCATTATTGTAAGTGGATTTGTACTGTATAGTTTGGTCTTAATATAATTACTTCACAATATCCTTATGGGAAAAATATCGTCATTTGCACCTGAACATACTTTGGATAAAATAATGTTAAACCGGGGATCACTGTACTTGATTAGTAAAATTACTATTACTAGAAAATTTGTCGTGGAGTCATGTTATCCATGATTTTATGAGGAATATAAAATATCTTTGTTATTTAGAAATTTTTTGTGCATTGCCTTCGTGGGAGCTTAGTGAAAATGATACCAAAAATTAAAAAAAACAATTAATTTCATTGGAAGTCTTCAGTGTAAAAGATGGACTCAAATGTATTAATCAGGTACTTGATGCGGTAAACAGGGTAAAAGGTGTAAGGAAACACGCTGTATGCAAGGGACACTCAGTGTGTAGAGATGAGAAGTTGCACCTTGCAAATTTTATGAATCTTGATTATAATTGAGCATATTCTGTTGCAAGGGATATAAAAATGTTTGAAAATTGTAGTAAACTCCAAGTTGTAATGCCTTTATTTAAATTTAAAAAGAATTTGGTAATAATAATACATATTTTATGAAAAAGAGGATAAATAAATATAAGGTATGATGTAGCACGTAATGAAAGTAGTTTATTAATTATGTATTGGTGGATAAAAGGTTGATGGGTAGGCTCCAGGATGTACATGTTTATAGAGGGGCAACTGATATATCGGATCATTATTTAGTTGTAGCTACAGTTAGAGTAAGAGGTAGATGGGAAAAGAGGAAGGTAGCAACAACAAGTAAGAAGAAGGTGAAAGTGTATAAACTAAGGGAGGAGGAAGTTCGGGTGAAATATAAGCGACTATTGGCAGAAAGGTGGGCTGGTGCAAAGATGAGTAGTGGGGGGGTTGAAGAGGGTTGGAATAGTTTTAAAATGCAAGTATTAGAATGTGGGGCAGAAGTTTGTGGTTATAGGAGGGTGGGGGCAGAGGAAAGAGGGGTGATTGGTGGAATGATGAAGTAAAGGGTTGTGATAAAAGAGAAAAAGGTAGCTTATGAGAGGTTTTTACAAAGCAGAAGTGTTATAAGAAGAGCAGAGTATATGGAGAGTAAAAGAAGGTGAAGAGAGTGGTGAGAGAGTGCAAAAGGAGAGACAGATGTGGGAGAGGCACTGTCAAGAAATTTTAATGAAAATAAGAAAAAATTTTGGAAGTGAGTCTAAACAAGTTAAGAAAGCCTAGGGAAAGTATGGATTTGTCAGTTAAAAACAGAGTAGGGGAGTTAGTAGATGGGGAGATGAAGGTATTAGGTAGATGGCAGAATATTTTGAGGAACTTTTAATGTTAAGGAAGAAGAGAGGCAGTAATTTCATGCACTGGTCAGGGAGGTATACCATCTTTTAGGAGTGAAGAAGAGCAGAATGTAAGTGTTGGGGAGGTACGTGAGGCATTACGTAGAATGAAAGGGGTAAAGCAGCTGGAGCTAATGGGATCATGACAGAATGTTAAAAGCAGGGGAGATATTAGTGTTGGAGTGGTTGGTACTTTTGTTAATAAATGTATGAAAGAGGGGAAGGTACCTAGGGATTGGCGGAGAGCATGTATAGTCCCTTTATATAAAGGGAAAGGGGACAAAAGAGATTGTAAAATTTATAGAGGAATAAGTTTACTGAGTTATACCAGGAAAAGTGATACGGTTAGGGTTATAACTGAAAGAATTAGAGGTAAGACAGAATGTAGGATTGCGGATGAACAAGGAGGTTTCAGAGTGGGTAGGGGATATGTAGATCAAGTGTTTACATTGAAGCATATATGTGAACAGTATTTAGATAAAGGTAGGGAAGTTTTTATTGCATTTATGGATTTAGAAAAGGCATATGATAGAGTGGATAGAGGAGCAATGTGGCAGATGTTGCAAGTTATGGAATAGGTGGTAAGTTATTAAATGCTGTAAGAGCTTTTATGAGGATAGTGAGGCTCAGGTTAGGGTGTGTAGAAGAGAGGGAGACTACTTCCCGGTAAAGTAGGTCTTAGACAGGGATGTGTAATGTCACCATGGTTGTTTAATATATTTATAGATGGGGTTGTAAAGAAGTAAATGCTAGGGTGTTCGGGAGAGGGGTGGATTAAATTATGGGAATCAAATTCAAAATGGGAATTGACACAGTTACTTTTTGCGATGATACTGTGCTTATGGGAGATTCTAAAGAAAAAATTGCAAAGGTTAGTGGATGAGTTTGAGAATGTGTGTAAAGGATAGAAAGTTGAAAGTGAGAAATAGAAAAGAGTAAGGTGATGAGGGTATCAAATGATTTAGATAAAGAAAAATTGGATATCAATTTGGGGAGGGGGTATGGAAGAAGTGAATGTTTTCAGATACTTGGGAGTTGACGTGTCGGCGGATGGATTTATGAAGGATGAGGTTAATCATAGAATTGATGAGGAAAAAAGGTGAGTGGTGCGTTGAGGTATATGTGGAGTCAAAAAACGTTATCTATGGAGGCAAAGAAGGGAATGTATGAAAGTATAGTAGTACCAACACTCTTATATGGGTGTGAAGCTTGGGTGGTAAATGCAGCAGCGAGGAGACGGTTGGAGGCAGTGGAGATGTCCTGTCTTAAGGGCAATTTGTGGTGTAAATATTATGCAGAAAATTCGGAGTGTGAGAAATTAGGAGAAGGTGTGGAGTTAATAAAAGTATTAGTCAGAGGGCAGAAGAGGGGTTGTTGAGGTGGTTTGGTCATTTAGAGAGAATGGATCAAAGTAGAATGACATGGAAAGCATATAAATCTATAGGGGAAGGAAAGAGGGGTAGGGTCGTCCTCGAAAGGGTTGGAAAGAGGGGGTAAAGGAGGTTTTGTGGGCAAGGGGCTTGGACTTCCAGCAAGCGTGCATGAGCGTGTTAGATAGGAGTGAATGGAGACGAATGATACTTGGGACCTGACGATCTGTTGGAGTGTGAGCAGGGTAATATTTAGTGAAGGGATTCAGGGAAACTGGTTATTTTCATATAGTCGGACTTGAGTCCTGGAAATGGGAAGTACAATGCCTGCACTTTAAAGGAGGGGTTTGGGATATTGGCAGTTTGGAGGGATATGTTGTGTATCTTTATACGTATATGCTTCTAAACTGTTGTATTCTGAGCACCTTTGCAAAACAGTGATAATGTGTGAGTGTGGTGAAAGTGTTGAATGATGATGAAAGTATTTTCTTTTTGGGGATTTTCTTTCTTTTTTTTTTGGGTCACCCTGCCTCGGTGGGAGACGACCGACTTGTTGAAAAAAAAAAAAAAAATTCAGGGAAACCGGTTATTTTCATATAGTCGGACTTGAGTCCTGGAAATGGGAAGTACAATGCCTGCACTTTAAAGGAGGGGTTTGGGATATTGGCAGTTTGGAGGGATATGTTGTGTATCTTTGTAAGTATATGCTTCTAAACTGTTGTATACTGAGCACCTCTGCAAAAACAGTGATAATGTGTGAGTGTGGTGAAAGTGTTGAATGATGATGAAAGTATTTTCTTTTTGGGGATTTTCTTTCTTTTTTGGGTCACCCTGCCTTGGTGGGAGATGGCTGATTTGTTGAAAAAAAAAAAAAAAGGTAATTTTTGCCTCTGATTTTTTCAGAACAAGTTACTGCCATGTCACAGGAGCTAGTTACCTTGAAAGAAAAGACATATGAAAAAACTGAGTTGATGCTTGAGGTTCCATGTGTGGAGTCTCTAGCTATGGCATCTGTGGTGGTGACGCTGAAGATGTGTTGTGGACATCAATGACCTGGTTGAACACCAGCTCTCAGCAGTAACCTCAAAGATTAACTCAGCACTAGGTTCATCACACACTGTGGATTTGCTCTTTTCTTGGGATGACTGGAAAAGGTATACAGGAAAATATTAATACAAGAAGCACTTTCACCATTGCTCACTTCATCACTGTTTTGTGAAAAGCATGCTGATACTGCATTTCAAAACTGCAGATATCCCCACCCCTCCTTCAGAGTGCAGGACTTAAATCCAGCTAACCTGTTTCCTTGAATCCTTACATAAATGTTACCCTGCTCACACTCCAGCAGCACATTATGTCATAAAAACTACTTGCCTCCTCTCACTCTTATCTAAGACTTCCTGGATGTCTAAGTCCCACATACACAAAACCTCCTTTACCCCCTGCCTCCAACCATTCCTAGGATGACACCTACCTTGTTTTTCCCTCACTACAGATTTATATGCTCTTCAAGTCATCCTATTTTGTTCCATCCTCTCTAAATGTCCAAACCACTTCAACAACTCCTGTTTCAGCCTTTTGGATATTATTAACCTCACACCTCCTCCTAACCAGAGTATATTAGTGAAAACTGTTTTATGGGTGTGAATCATGGGTTTTGAATGTTGCAGCATTGAACCTGGAGGTAGTAGAGATGCTGTGAATACTATGCAGAGAATTTGAGGTTTGGAGATTAGGAGATGTGGATTTAACAAAAGGGCTGAGGAAGGGTTGTTGAGCTGGTTTGAACATTTAGAGAGGATGGAGACAAAGGGAATGATTAGGAGAGTGTATAAATCTGATGGGTAGGCTCCAGGATGTACATGTTTATAGAGTGGCAACTGATATATCGGATCATTATTTAGTTGTAGCTACAGTTAGAGTAAGAGGTAGATGGGAAAAGAGGAAGGTGGCAACAACAAGTAAGAGGGAGGTGAAAGTGTATAAACTAAGGGAGGAGGAAGTTCGTGTGAGATATAAGCGACTATTGGCAGAAAGGTGGGCTAGTGCAAAGATGAGTAGTGGGGGGGTTGAAGAGGGTTGGAATAGTTTTAAAAATGTATTAGAATGTGGGGCAGAAGTTTGTGGTTATAGGAGGGTGGGGGCAGGAGGAAAGAGGGGTGATTGGTGGAATGATGAAGAAAAAGGGTGTGATAAAAGAGAAAAAGGTAGCTTATGAGAGGTTTTTACAAACCAGAAGTGTTATAAGAAGAACAGAGTATATGGAGAGTAAAAGAAAGGTAAAGAGAGTGGTGAAAGAGTGCAAAAGGAGAGCAGATGATAGAGTGGGAGAGGCACTGTCAAGAAATTTTAATGAAAAGAAGAAAAAAATTTGGAGTGAGTTAAACAAGTTAAGAAAGCCTAGGGAAAGTATGGATTTGTCAGTTAAAAAAAAGAGTAGGGGAGTTAGTAGATGGGGAGATGGAGGTATTAGGTAGATGGCAAGAATATTTTGAGGAACTTTTTAATGTTAAGGAAGAAAGAGAGGCAGTAATTTCATGCACTGGTCAGGGAGGTATACCATCTTTTAGGAGTGAAGAAGAACAGAATGTAAGTGTGGGGGAGGTAACGTGAGGCTTTACGTAGAATGAAAGGGGGTAAAGCAGCTGGAACTGATGGGATCATGACAGAAATGTTAAAGCAGGGGGGGATATAGTGTTGGAGTGGTTGGTACTTTTGTTTAATAAATGTATGAAAGAGGGGAAGGTACCTAGGGATTGGCGGAGAGCATGTATAGTCCCTTTATATAAAAGGGAAAGGGGACAAAAGAGACTGTAAAAAATATAGAGGAATAAGTTTACTGAGTATACCAGGAAAAGTGTACGGTAGGGTTATAATTGAAAGAATTAGAGTAAGACAGAATGTAGGATTGCGGATGAGCAAGGAGGTTTCAGAGTGGGTAGGGGATGTGTAGATCAAGTGTTTACATTGAAGCATATATGTGAACAGTATTTAGATAAAGGTAGGGAAGTTTTTATTGCATTTATGGATTTAGAAAAGGCATATGATAGAGTGGATAGAGGAGCAATGTGGCAGATGTTGCAAGTATATGGAATAGGTGGTAAGTTACTAATTGCTGTTAAAGAGTTTTTATGAAGATAGTGAGGCTCAGGTTAGGGTGTGTAGAAGAGAGGGAGAATACTTCCCGGTAAAAGTAGGTCTTAGACAGGGATGTGTAATGTCACTGTTACGGCCCCCTGCCAAACTAGCGGTTAAATAGTTAACCTGCCAGCCGGCAGTACCACTGGGTACGTCATCAACCCATTGTGGGGACTGCTGAGCCGGCCTTAGAGCTTTAAGTACCTGAACTCCTCAGGGTACGCATCTAAGCAGTAGGTACCTGACCACCTAATCGTACACATCTACTGGCTTTAGAAACATTAAGTACCTGAACTCCTCAGGGTATGCATCTAAGCAGTAGGTACCAGGACACCTAATGGTACACCTCTACTGGCTTTAGAAGCAATATGTACCTGAGCACCTCAAGGTACGCATCTAAGCAGTAGGTACCTGAACACCTAATGGTACACATCTACTGGCTTTAGAAGCAGTAGGTACCTGAACACCTAATGGTACACATCTACTGGCAGTAGAGTATTCTACTGGCTTCTGCTGATTTTAGAAGAAGCGCTCATCGCAGCTCACTGAGTCTGTTGGCCTCAGTTATCTGACGGCCGCATTCAGTGAGCTTGCAACATAGTGTGCGCTGCACCGGACCACCTTGCGGTGTGTCAACCGGCTTTGGAGAGTATTTACAGGACTACCGGTGATGTCTGCGGACTCGCCGCCTACGCTTGTCAACTGTGGGCCGGAGTCATCTGATGCTGTTTAGTGGGACATTACATGAAGAAAAGGTTGGAGTGTTACACTGAACTGGGCTAGGTCCGTAGTGTAACACTTAAGCAAGTATGATGGAGTGGAACACTGAGATATGCTACAGGACCGTAGTGGAACACTGAGACGAAAAGGGTGTCGTGTGACACTGAAGATGGCCTGGTTGTAGTGTACACTGAATAGGGTCATGTGACTGGCCTCGACAAAGACGCTATGTGGGTAGTGTGACGCAGAGACAAGGGTGTCAAGTGTGACACGGTTGCGAAAGTGTGTATTACATGGAGAAAAGGGTGTCAAGTGACACGGTGGAGAAAGAGCGTCACAACTCGGATAAGTGTCGTGAGAAACAGTTGATTGTAATTTATTATTTTAAATGTTACTTAATTTATTATTTTAGCATATAGATATATGACACAGTAGTGTCAAGAGTTGTACTCTGTGTAGGGTCGGGAATTATTTATTATTTTAGTAAAATGCTAATTATAATTTATTATTGTAACATGTATATATTATCAGATGTTAGTTCAAATACCTCTAGACCAAAGATAGTTGATTTTTATATTATATTAAAGATTAATTGATTTTAATGTGTGTATTTATGTATCCTGAACTCTTATTACAAAAGGAGTAAAACTACAATTTTAAAAGTAACTTTTTTTTGTAATAGTCACCAAGGTTGTTTAATATATTTATAGATGGGGTTGTAAAAGAAGTAAATGCTAGGGTGTTCGGGAGAGGGGTGGGGTTAAATTATGGGGAATCAAATTCAAAATGGGAATTGACACAGTTACTTTTTGCTGATGATACTGTGCTTATGGGAGATTCTAAAGAAAAATTGCAAAGGTTAGTGGATGAGTTTGAGAATGTGTGTAAAGGTAGAAAGTTGAAAGTGAACATAGAAAAGAGTAAGGTGATGAGGGTATCAAATGATTTAGATAAAGAAAAATTGGATATCAAATTGGGGAGGAGGAGTATGGAAGAAGTGAATGTTTTCAGATACTTGGGATTTTGACGTATCGGCGGATGGATTTATGAAGGTGAGGTTAATCATAGAATTGATGAGGGAAAAAAGGTGAGTGGTAGCGTTGAGGTATATGTGGAGTCAAAAACGTTGTCTATGGAGGCAAAGAAGGGAATGTATGAAGTATAGTAAGTACCAACACTCTTATATGGATGTGAAGCTTGAGTGGTAAATGCAGCAGCGAGGAGACGGTTGGGGGCAGTGGAGATGTCCTGTCTAAGGGCAATGTGTGGTGTAATATTATGCAGAAAATTCGGAGTGTGGAAATTAGGAGAAGGTGTGGAGTTAATAAACATTAGTCAGGGGCTTGAAGAGGGGTTGTTGAGGGTTTGGTCATTTAAGAGAAAGTATAATAAGAATGATTGCAAATACTAAATCAAGGGGAAGGAAGGAGGGGTAGGGGTGTCTGAAAGGGTTGATAAAGAGGGGGTAAAGAGGTTTTGACTTGGTCAAGGGTTGAAACTTTTAAAGTAACTTGTATTTTTAATAGCAATGTGTAATGATTAGAGGTAAAAATAACTGGTGTCGGGACTGGGACGGGTTAAATTTGGGAATAGATTAGAGGGTAATATTAGAAGTATTTCAGGAAACGTGTTTTTGATATCAATTGAATTGCGAAATGGGAAGTACAATTGCACTTTAAAGGAGGGGTTTGGGAAATGGCAGTTTGGAAGGATATGTTGTGTAGCTTTATCAAATGATTGTAAACTGAAATTGGATACACCTTGCAAACAGTGATAAGTGATGAGTGAATGTTTAGATGTGGAAAGTTGAAAGTATTTTCTTTTTGGGGATTTTTATTTATTGGGTATGCCCGGGAAGGGAGTGGCCGTGATATGTTGAAAAAAAAAAAAAAATAAATCTGAGGTAGATGGAAGGAGGATTTGTCCTAGGAAATGCTGGAGGAAGGGGATAAGGAGGTTTTGAGTGCTAGGGGCTGGACATCCAACAGGCTTTTGTGAGCAAAGTGACATTTATGAAAGGTTTCAGGAAAGCCAGTTAGCTAGATTTGAGCCCTGGAGGTGGGAAATAATATCTGCACTCTGAAGAAGGGGTGGGGATGCTATGGTTTCAAGGGTCATCTGAACTCTGATGTCAGTGCCCTTCTGGCAAGACAATAATTAGGCGACAGTGAAAGTGTTTTCTTCTTCTTGCTGGGTCACCCTGCCTCAGTGGGAGGTGACTAGTGTTTTTTAAAAAAAAGATTGATAATTAAAATGATGTTATAACCATCTTTGAATTTTTATATTTTCAAAATAAAAATTGTCAGATATTTGTCTTACAGATATATCACAAAGTTATTGTGGTTTTGTAATCAAGTTTATCCTCTCCATGGCATGATGAGCTCTGCATCCAAGGCTGTGGGTAACAAGCAAGTGGCAATTTTCTCAAGGCTTTCCCAAATTCTCTCCTTTTGTAGATGTGCACCTGCTGTACACATGAAAGGTAAGTGGTTTGATACCTTAGCAAAGATATACAGTAGTAGGTGGGTTGAAAAAAAAAATCACAAAATGTGATAGTTTTGGAGAAGTCTGAATCTAATTCGTTAACTACTGTATAAAGAATGATATTGATGAAATTGATTGCTAAATGATGAATATTGTACAGCCTCTCCTCACTTAGCGACATACTTGTTCACTGCTGCCTCGGACTTATGATGGGCTCTCTGACCAGTATTCATACCTAAATAATGTACATATATTAGAGCTAATTTTCTTTATTCTGCTTATTTCAATATACAGTACACTACTGTATAAACATTTAAAAATATACCAGAAATGTTATAAATGGTGCAGCGGTGACATTAAAAAATATCAAAGATGGTTGACACAAACTACCATTATAGTATGCTCCTTACTTAGCGACGAATTCGTTTAACAACATGGTCTTAGGAACTGAACTCCACCATTAAGTGAAGAGAGGCTGTACATGGAAAAGTAGCAGTGATTGTGTAAAGTATATTGATACCTAATAAGATAGAAAACTGGTAAGTGTTTGATTGAGGCCAGAAGCATTCTGAATCATTAGTTCATCTGACAGAACCAAACTTGAAAATCTTGGGTAATTTTTCAAGGGAATATTTGCAAAAAAAAAAAAAAAAAATTACAGCCCAAATTCAATAAAAAATGCCCTCTTAGTCATCCTTATTTTGTTCCATCCTCTGTACATCTTCAAACTACCTCAATAATTTCTCCTCTGCCCTCTGAATAATACTTTTAGTAAAAGTATCTGAGGAAAAAAATGATCTCTGAAATACTGTTCATTTTATTTGATTTTATACAGTATTCTATTTACTTGATCAAACCTTTCCATATATACAAGCTGTTGATGCATATAAAGAATAAAAAGTGAAGTGGTTTTTTATGCCTGTCGACAGTTCTGTTTTCCTAAAAGCATCTTGGCTGCTAAACAGCAGATTACAGTACAAGATTATGTAATACTCTGTATAAGTAATGACAGTGTTAGAGACAAGTAAGAAGCACACAAAAATACAGAAGGTTATTTGTAAACTTAAAATTATCTTTATATTTGTTACAGATTTGAAAGATTACACACATATTTCAAGTATGTTGGACGACCATGGTCATTCTTTAAGGAAACTGTTTGATCAACACAAAGTATATAGAGGAACAGCTGATCCATTCTTAGGTATTATTGAGCAGTATGTAACAACATGGAGTGAAAATGACCCACAATCACCAGAGCTATTGAAAGTAAGTATTACTAATTTTTACTTTTTTATAGCATGTGCATGGTAAACTTCTCGGAATGTGGTCGATACTTGTAAAAGTGTTTCAAAACAGGACTTTGAAAATATTAAGAGAAAATATCACTCAAACATCGTTATAAGATGGATCATTTGAATGTGGTTTCTGGTGTGTGTTTGTTTGTGATGAAAGTGGGGAAAGCAGATGTGTGTATTGAGGGTGAGTGAAGCAGATGAGTATTTTGGGGGGTAAAGAAAAAAAATGTATGTGTCAAGGGTGAGTGAAGCATCTGTATGTTAGGGGTAAAGGAAGCAGATGTGTGTGTTGAGGGTGGGGGAAGCAGATTTTTGTGCTTGGAAGGGGAAGCAGATTTGTGTGCTTGGAAGAGTAAGTAGATTTGTGTGTTTGGAAGACTATGCAGATTTGTGTGCTTGGAAAACTAAGCAGATTTGTATGCTTCGAAGACTAAGCAGATTTGTGTGCTTGGAAGATTAAGCAGATTTGTGTACTTGGAGGATTAAGCAGATTTGTGTGCTTAGAAGAATAAGCAGATTTGTGTGCTTGGAAGGGGAAGCAGATGTGTGTGCTTGGAAGACTAAGCAGATATGTGTGCTTGGGTGAAAAAAAAAGCATTAGTGTGCACTCAAGATGGGGAAAAATGGTGGGTGTACTCACCTATATATGGTTGCATGGGTTGAGTTTCAGCTCCTGGCCCTGCCTCTTCACTGGTTCTTACTATGTTCACTCTCCTGGCTACAAAAGCCTTATTGTACCTCTTCTAAAAGCTGTGTATGGATTCTGCCTCAACCTCTTCACTCTCCAGGTCATTCAGTTATATACCTGACTACTCTAAGGCTAAAGAAATGCTTCCTAATATCCCTGTCACTCATCTGAGTTTTCAACTTCCAGTTGTGCCCTTGTGTTCCTGTTTTCCATCTCTCCAATAATCTGTCCCTATCCACCCTGTCATCTCTCGGTATTTGGTACATTGTTATCATATCACCCCCAGTTCTTCTGTCCTCTAGTGTCATTAGGTTGAGCTCCCTTAACCTCTCACCACATAGGAAATACCCCTTAGCTCCAGGATTAGTCTTGTTGCAACCTCTGCACTTTCTCTAATTTCTTAACCAGATGTGGGTTATATACTGGTGTTGCATACTCCAATATGGGCCTAACATTCATAGGGAGGGTGTGTGTGTGTGGGGGGGGGTGTACCCTCCTAATGGTGGTTGCAGGGGTCGAGTCATAGCTCCTGGTCCTGCTTCTTCACTGGTCACTACTCTCTCCCTGCTCCAGGAGCCTTATCATACCTCTTCTTAAAACTGTATATGGATCCTGCCTCCACTACATAACTCTTCAGATTTTTCCACTTTCCTGACAACTCTATGGCTGAAGAAATACTTCCTAACATCCCTGTGACTCATCTGAGTTTTCATCTTCCAATTGTGATTCCTTGTTGCTGTGTCACATGTCTGCAACATTCTGTCCTTATCTACCCTGTCAGTTCCTCTCAGTATTTTATATGTTGTAAAGTAGAAGGACGGCCGACTTGTTAAAAAAAAAAAAAAAAAAAAGTAAAAGGACACAGGTGCAACTAATGTGACATTTTGTTGTGGCAACATTTCGCTCTCCAGGAGCTTTGTCAAGCTTGACAAAGCTCCTGGAGAGTGAAACGTTGCCACTATAAAATGTCACATTTGTTGCACCTGTGTCCTTTTACTTTACATATTGTTGGTGATTCTACCTACTTTATTACATTTTATATGTTGTTATCATGTTCCCCTATCCCTCTTGTCTTCCAATGTTGTGAGGTTGAGTTCTGTTAACCTGTCCTCAGGACAAATCCCTCAGTTCCAGGACTAGTCTTGTTGCAAACCTTTGCACTTTCTCTAATTTCTTAACGTGTTTGAGCAGGTGTAGGTTCTGTACTGGTGCTGCCTGCTCCAATATGGGCCTGATGTACGTGGTGTACAGTGTTGTGAATGCCTCCTTACTTAGATGTTGAAATGCTATTCTCAGGTTTGCCAGGTGCTGTATACTGCATCAGTTATTTGGTTGATGCGTGCCTCAGGAGATGTGCTCAGTCTGATGCTTATCCCCAAGATCTTTTTCCTGTGTGTGTGTGTGTGTGTGTGTGTGTGTGTGTGTGTGTGTGTGTGTGTGTGTGTGTGTGTGTGTGTGTGTGTGTGTGTGTTGTGTTTGTTTGTTTTTGTATGTTTTATTCTCCTTTTATGTTTGTTTTTGTTTACCTTGAGGGTGGAGGAAGCAGATTGTGCTACAGGGGTGGGGGAATTAGATATCTGAGCTGGAGTGAGAAAAGCTATCTTGTTTCAGGATTTGGGCATTGTGGTGTGTTAAATGGTGACTTGTGAGATTAGTAATTTAAATTTAAGGCCTAAAGACTGCACATAGATGATTAAGGCAGCAATGCACCATTATAATTACAACAAAAACCATCACATCAGGTTTCACCTAACATAATTTTAGGAGAATATTACAGGGACATTTAAACATGCAGTATTTGCTTATTAATAAGAACATATAAAATAAACACAAATGCACACGTCATTCCACTCACTATGAACACAAATATGATAGGTATTTGCACATACCAAAAAATATAGGAAAAAAAAGTGATCCATGACGGTTGTTTTTAACACAACTTCAGCTTTTTGACCTCATCACTGTGATATAATGCTGAACTATATATACACAAACTTCCCTGGATGGGTAGACCATAAAAATAATGAAGAAACTACTTTAACTAGAATGCCATACCTGTGCTTAGCATAGCTGCTAACTATTACTCAATTCCTTAACCTTTAGAAAAGTAGACTTCCAGTTAAAGGAAGGGTAAAGAGGATACCTTACTAAGGATACCTTAGTAAGCCCATAGTCATGCAGTGCCTGGGAAATGGGAGATCATCAGGTTTGATATGAAGAAGGGGAGGATAAGTTCAATTCCTCGAGGAAAAAGGGATATTTTACTTTTATCCAGAATGGGTAAAAAGAAATGTTATCCCTCAAACTAAACATTGTTTTAATAAAGAATTGTGTTTTTTCTGTGTTATTTTATCCCGCATCATTGATGTTTATACAGTAAACTAATACAGTGGACCCCCGGTTTACGATCAGCTCCCAATGCGACCAATTATGTAAGTGTATTTATGTAAGTGCGTTTGTATGTGTATGTTTGGGGGTTTGAAATGGACTAATCTAATTCACAATATTCCTTATGGGAACAAATTCTGTCAGTACTGGCACCTGAACGTACTTCTGGAATGAAATAATATCGTAAACCGGGGGTCCACTGTATACAGTGGAACCTCGGCACTCGACTTAATTGGTTCCAGGAGGCTGTTCGAGTGTCGATCTGTTCGATTACAAACTAATTTTTCCCAACCAATTTTCTTTTAGGTTGGCTGTTATCACTAACCTTCTTAGGTCCCAATGATGACTTATTTATACAAATACAGCCTCTCCTCAGTTAACGATGGAGTTCCATTCCCAAGACCATGTTGGTAAACGAATTCATTGCTAAGTGAGAAGCATACTATAATGGTAGTGGGTTTGTGTCAGCTATCCTTGATATTGTTTTAATGTCACCTTTGCACCATTTATAACATTTCTGGTATATATGTATTTTTAAATGTCTATACAATACAGTATTGTCCTGTATACTGTAATAAAAAGAATATAGGAAATCAGCTCTAATATACATTATTTAGGCATGCATACTGGTTAGAGAGCCCATCGTAAGTTCGAGGCATCAGTAAACGAGTAAGTCACTAAGTGAGGAGAGGCTGTAATATAAAAAATGCGAAGAAACACAAAATAGTTTACAGCAAAGTTCTGGCAGGTCATATTTGTTTGGTCAAGTGCTGAACAAACAGTCGGCTGCCAAGTGATTTGTTAACCGAACAAAGCATTCGAATACCATATGGTACTCAAATATGGAGCTATTTGAATACCAAGGTTCCATTGTATATAGTACATTGGACACAGTTAAAAGGGTAAGTGTACAAGATATATATGATGCATTATTTCCTTGATGAAGTCTCCTTGATAGAATACCCATAACTGAGCATTGGTAATGCTGGTAAAAGGATATAACTTGGATCGTACTTTAACATACATTATTAAGGTAAGTACAACTACACTAGTTAACATGTCAAATCATTAGAAGACAGAAAATCAAACTTTGTCTGCTTTTGTTTGGCCCCTGGTTTTATGTTTAAAAATAAAATTTTAAGAATTTAAACATCATCATTACAGATTGGCCAAGACCTCATGCAGATGTCCTTTGCATCACATCAGCTGTTCTGGACTCAAAATATTACTCACATTCAGAGATGTCTGAAGAAATGTGGCTCCAAGATTGTTTTGAATCCTGTGAAATTTCCCAATATAAAACAGTTCAAAGATGCCACACCACTTAACAGGATTTGGAATTATAAAAAAATAAGATCAGAAAAGGTTTTGAAGCAGCCAGACACTTACTTGAACATAATGAAGGTAGCACGATGTTTATGGATAATTCAAGTGATTCAACAGTTTTTGATGATAACAGTAATAAGAGAGATACTGTGTACTGTTCAACAGGAGCTTAAGTGATTCATCAGTTTCTCTTAACAATGGAAATAACAAGAAAAAAATAGTTTACAGCTTAACAGAGAGATCAAGGATTTCACAACTGAAGTTAAAAATAACAATACCAATTTTGTTGCAGAAGAAAGCCCAAGTTGTTCACTCTCAGCAATTGGTGCAAGTGACCTAGTTGATAAGATTTACACTTCAAATGACAGCTCGAGTGATTCAGAAGATTACCAGGACAGAGTTGATAAGATTTTCAGGAATGAATATCATCCCTCAAGTAATATTTTGTTAGTACCAATGCCACTATATAGATTTTGGAAGTCAAATTTAGCAAAAGAAAAATGGAAATACTTTTGGGAAAATTTACCCATTAATTTCCAGTGGCTAATAACTGTTGGAAGTACATTGTGTTTAATATCAAAGGAGGAACTTATAAAAGATGTGAATCTCCTTGAGAAAACCTTGGTATTACATTGCTCAAGATGAAGGCATGATATGGATATTGTTTTTTATTTTGTTTTGTAAATTAATGGAGACTGATTATTGTACATTGTACAATTCATAATAAAAAAAACAGATGGATTATCCAAGTACAATAATAATTTTTTTTTCTTTGGGAATCTTCTCATGAAGCCCATTACTAGCAAATGTTTATTAGTAAGTTCGCTGAAATACTTGTAGGTAATAAATTGCTTGGAAATGGTCATCCTACAAGGAATTCTGTACAGAAATAGAAGTCTGTTTCAGGATGACAGATTTCAACACCTTGTATGAGTTTCTTCCTGCTTGATGGAATAAGAAAGGGAAACAGTAGCATTTATTCCCAATGTGTAACTGTCATAAAGAATATGGTAGCAGCACACTTGTGATACAGTATATGCAATTTTATATAATAAAAAAAAAAACTTGAGGAGATTGTAATAAATCTTAGTGGGGGGAAAACAGAAACCTTTAGGAACTTAATCACTAGAATCAAGGAATACAAATATGCTTGACATTACATACACAATACATATTGTAACACCTGTAACCACCTACAAGATTAGTTATAAACAAAGTATGTAGTCTGATGTGGCAGACTGTGCTTAAAATTAGTTTTAATCACCGCTGCCAACACCATTTTACCATCTCTGATATTTTAGCAAATCTGATCCTACCTAAAACAGACACAGACTTCACTTCCCTGCAGTAGACCTTGCTGAACACACACTTCACCTCATGGACCATTCCTCAGTCACTGTATAACCTCATATTTTACTTGTCTCTATATGAAGTGGCAGATGTCTTTTAATAAAATACCATAACCTACACATTATCTCTATCATCACCTCTCAGAACAATCACAAACTTTAAGTATTGGTTATATATTATGTCCATTATGTGAGTGAAAACAGATTTTTTTTTGACTTGACAAGCTATTGGAGTGTGAGCAAGGTAATATTTTTTGAAGGGATTCAGGGAAACCGGTTAGCCAGACTTGAATCCTGGAGGTGGGAACTACAGTGCCTGCACTAAATGAGGACTTTGGGATATTTTCTGCTTAGAGGGACATCTAACATGTTGTATCTTCATGCCTCAGGCAAGACAGTGATAATGTAAATGATGGTGAAAATGTTTCTTTTATGGGTCACCCTGCCTCGGTGGGAGACAGCCAGTGCGTTAAAAAAAAAGTCTGTATTCATATCTTTTTTTTTTTTTTTTTCAACAAGTCGGCCGTCTCCCACCGAGGCAGGGTGACCCAAAAAAGAAAGAAAATCCCCAAAAAGAAAATACTTTCATCATCATTCAACACTTTCACCACACTCACACATTATCACTGTTTTTGCAGAGGTGCTCAGAATACAACAGTTTAGAAGCATACACATATAAAGATACACAACATATCCCTCCAAACTGCCAATATCCCAAACCCCTCCTTTAAAGTGCAGGCATTGGTATTTCCCATTTCCAGACTCAAGTCCGACTATATGAAAATAACCGGTTTCCCTGAATCCCTTCACAAAATATTACCCTGCTCACAACTCCAACAGATCGTCAGGTCCCAAGTACCATTCGCTCCATTCACTTCCTATCTAACACGCTCACGCAGCTTGCTGGAAGTCCAAGCCCCTTCCCCACAAAAACCTCCTTTACCCCCTCTCTCCAACCTTTTCGAGGATGACCCTTACCCCGCCTTCCTTCCCCTGTAGATTTATATGCTTTTCCATGTCATTCTACTTTGATCCATTCTCTCTAATGACCAAACCACCTCAACAACCCCTCTTCTGCCCTCTGACTAATACTTTTAATTAACTCCACACCTTTTCCTAATTTCCACACTCCGAATTTTCTGCATAATATTTACACCACACATTGCCCTTAAACAGGACATCTCAACTGCCTCCAACCGTCTCCTCACTGCTGCATTTACCACCCAAGCTTCACACCCATATAAGAGTGTTGGTACTACTATACTTTTATACATTCCCTTCTTTGCCTCCATAGGTAACGTTTTTTGACTCCACATATACCTCAACGTACCACTCACCTTTTTTCCCTCATCAATTCTATGATTAACCTCATCCTTCATAAATATCATATCTAAACCTACTAAATATAAATGTCATTCATACATACAACCGTTCACTCGTCATCTGTAATGCTGATGCAGACTTAGACATTTCCTGGAAGATTGTAATAAATACACAGGTCTTGTACTAGAAACAGATACCTGTTTGATGTCCCTCAGAAATCACTATATAAGAAAGCAAGAGGTTGGTAGACAGTACAAATTACCTCTACTGAAAAACCTGGTCATAATGAATGCACTAAGAGATCTATAAGTGTAAGGGGACCAACACCTCTATAAACTCCTTTCATGTTTCGAGGGGAATTAACGACAATTCCTGGGCCTCTTCAAGAGGAAACCTGATAAATTCCTCAAACCATTACCTGATTAACCAGGCTGTTGTATATAGGTTGGACTGCATGAGGCTGCCACCAACAACCTGGTCAATTAGGCCAGGAACCTGGAGGTCTTGGACCAGGTCATGGGAAGCAAATGCAGGTAACCTCATGCTTGTTTGAACAACTACAGAAATTGAATGCAGATTAGGTGAAAAATATGGAATAACTTAGGAATATTAACCTATTGACCAACCTTGGCCTCAGTGTTGCATTCACTCTTAACAGATCCCTAATTTATGGGGTTTAGCCTTACATTTGATTATATTAATAATGAGATGAATTAAAAAGTTGCAACATATTAAACTAAAATTAAAGCTAAAAAAAATAGTGTTCTTGAAAACTTCGATAGTTACTAACCTGCCTTTTTTTTTTTTTTTTTTTTTCAACAAGTCGGCCGTCTCCCACCGAGGCAGGGTGACCCAAAAAAGAAAGAAAATCCCCAAAAAGAAAATACTTTCATCATCATTCAACACTTTCACCACACTCACACATTATCACTGCTTTTGCAGAGGTGCTCAGAATACAACAGTTTAGAAGCATATACGTATAAAGATACACAACATATCCCTCCAAACTGCCAATATCTCAAACCCCTCCTTTAAAGTGCAGGCATTGTACTTCCCATTTCCAGGACTCAAGTCCGACTATATGAAAATAACCGGTTTCCCTGAATCCCTTCACTAAATATTACCCTGCTCACACTCCAACAGATCGTCAGGGCCCAAGTATCATTCGTCTCCATTCACTCCTATCTAACACGCTCATGCACGCTTGCTGGAAGTCCAAGCCCCTCGCCCACAAAACCTCCTTTACCCGCTCTTTCCAACCCTTTCGAGGACGACCCCTACCCCTCCTTCCTTCCCCTATAGATTTATATGCTTTTCCCTGTCATTCTACTTTGATCCATTCTCTCTAAATGACCAAACCACCTCAACAACCCCTCTTCAAACCCTCTGACTAATGCTTTTATTAACTCCACACCTTCTCCTAATTTCCACAACTCCCCAATTTTCTGCATAATATTTTTCACCACACATTGCCCTTTAAAAGGACATCTCCACTGCCTCCCCAAACCCTCTCCTTTGCTGCTGCATTACCACCCAAGCTTCACATCCATATAAGAGTGTTGGTACTACTATACTTTCATACATTCCCCTTCTTTGCCTCCATAGATAACATTTTTGACTCCACATATACCTCAACGCACCACTCACCTTTTTCCCTCATCAGTTCTATGATTAACCTCATCCTTCAAAATCCTTTCCCCCACACGTCAACTCCCAAGTAAACGGAAAACATTCACTTCTTCCATACTCCTCCTCCCCAATTTGATATCCAATTTTTCTTTATCTAATCATTTGATACTCTCATCACCTTACTCTTTTCTATGTTCACTTTCAACTTTCTACCTTTACACACATTCTCAAACTCATCCACTAACCTTTGCAATTTTTCTTTAGAATCTCCCATAAGCACAGTATCATCAGCAAAAAGTAACTGTGTCAATTCCCATTTTGAATTTGATTCCCCATAATTTAATCCCACCCCTCTCCCGAACACCCTAGCATTTACTTCTTTTACAACCCCATCTATAAATATATTAAACAACCATGGTGACATTACACATCCCTGTCTAAGACCTACTTTTACCGGGAAGTATTCTCCCTCTCACTATCCTTATAAAAGCTCTTTACAGCATTTAGTAACTTACCACCTATTCCATATACTTGAAACATCTGCCACATTGCTCCTCTATCCACTCTATCATATGCCTTTTCTAAATCCATAAATGCAATAAAAACTTCCCTACCTTTATCTAAATACTGTTCACATATATGCTTCAATGTAAACACTTGATCTACACATCCCCTACCCACTCTGAAGCCTCCCTGCTCATCCGCAATCCTACATTCTGTCTTACCTCTAATTCTTTCAATTATAACCCTACCGTATACTTTTCCTGGTATACTCAGTAAACTTATTCCTCTATAATTTTTACAATCTCTTTTGTCCCCTTTCTCTTTATATAAAGGGACTATACATGCTCTCTGCCAATCCCTAGGTACCTTCCCCTCTTTCATACATTTATTAAACAAAAGTACCAACCACTCCAACACTAGATCCCCCCCTGCTTTTAACATTTCTGTCATGATCCCATCAGCTCCAGCTGCTTTACCCCCTTTCATTCTACGTAATGCCTCACATACCTCCACCACAGTTTATAAATATAAATTAGTCTTTTGTGTAATTTCGTTATTAAACCTTTATCATGCCCTACCCTGTAGTGCTGTAAGTGTATCTTGACTATTATTGATGGTTTCCTGTCAGTGTCTTGTACATACTAGATTCGTAGGGGGCAAATAAATATGCAGTTTTTAGTGCATTAGTTTTTGTCAAAGTTTGCGCTAAATAATGTACTCACCTAATTGTGGTTGCAGGGGTCGAGATTCGGCTCCTGGCTGTTTACTGCATCATATTTATGTACTGCCTTGGTGGAAGGCGGCAGACTTGTTGAAAAAAAAAATAATGAACAAAATATTTATTGTGCCATATTTATGTACTGTATACCCCTCAAGGAAGGTTTCTTGATGCTGGTAAGGGGCTCTTGATCTAGGGAATTGGATCTGTGCTCCAGTTACCTGGTGAGCCTGAATGCCTTCCATCCCCCCCGCCCCCACAGGCACTGTGTAATCCCTACGGGTTTAGTGCCCCCTTATAATAATATAATATCTTTATTTATACAAGTACATGTACAAGGTATACAGGCCTAGCTAACATCAATGACATACTACTATATAGAAAGCCCCTTGTTATACAGAGCATTTTGGGCAAATTAGATCACTTTTGCTCCAGGATGTGACCCACAACCAGTCAACTAGCACCCTGGTACCCATTTTACTGATGGGGAACATAGACAACTGGTGTAAAGAAACATGCCCACTGTTTCTACCCTTGCTGGGAATCAAACCTGGACCCTCACTATGTGAAGCGAGAGCTTTAGCTTCCAGGCCATGGGGCACCTTGATAATAATAATGTATACTGTATAATGAATGTTTATTGCACCTTATTTAGGTACTGTATACTGAATTAAATAAACATCTCCTTCCTCCTCCTCCTCCTTCCTACTCCTCCTCCTCCACCTCCTCCCTCCTCCTCCTCCTCCTCCTCCCCCCCCCTCCTCCCCCCTCCTCCTCCCCCCCCCTCCTCCCCCCTCCTCCTCCTCCCCCCTCCTCCTCCCCTTCCTCCTTCCTCCTTTCCTCCTCCCCCCCTCCTTCCTCCTCCTCCCCCCCCTTTCCCTTTCCCCCTCCTCCTCCCCTTCCTCCTTTCCCCCCCTCCTCCCTTCCTCCTCTTCCTCCTCCTCCT